TGCGTTCGGTGCAAGAGACAGTCGGCGAAAGCTCTTGATACAGTGCCTTGTCCTCTCCCAGAAGATCGAGTCAGAGATGCTTATGCATTTGAGGTGACAGGTGTTGATGTAGCAGGACCACTTTATTTAAAAGAAAATAGAAAAGCTTGGATCTTGCTTTTTACTTGTGGAGTTTATAGTGCGGTTCATTTAGAATTAATTGAAAGCTTATCGACTAATGGATTTTTTCTCGGATTTAGAAGATTCATAGCACGAAGAGGACGGCCTATAGTAGTATACAGCGATAATGGCACAAATTTTGTAGGGGCAAGGAATTTGCTCCGATCTGTTGACTGGAACCAAATTATCAGAAGTTCTTCGATAATGAAAATTCAGTGGAAGTTAAATCCATCAACCGCAGCACAGTGGGGTGGCTGGTGGGAGAGACTGGTTCAGATGATCAAGAAATTATTTAGAAGAGTCCTGGGAAAAGCATTACTTTCATATGAAGAAATGTTAACTATCCTACGTGATGCAGAAGCAAATATCAACTCCAGACCGTTAACATTACGAGTCAGAAGATTCCACCGATTTGTGTGCACTCACTCCATCTATGTTTATTCAGGATGTGTAAACTGAAGGTGTTCCGGATCTGGACAGTTTGGATAAAATCAACTTATCGAAAAGATGGCGATATCACCAAAAGTTACGTGTGGAATTTCGTAAAAGATTTATAGATGAATATGATGGTATGTTAGTACATCGGCCAAAGACTGTACCTTCGCGAACCATCAAGAAAGGTGATTTAGTGTTTGTAGAGGACGATAAAAGGAAAAGAACAGACTGGCCTATGGGTCGTGTGATCGAAGCATACCCAGGAAAAGACAACAACATCAGAGTGGTGAAAGTAAAAACATCTAGTGGTGAACTGTTAAGACCAGTTCAAAGAGTATTTCCAATGGAGATAAACAATAAAGAATCTATCTTCGAGCTTAAAACTACTGAATCATCCAAATCTTCGAAAAATACTGGTAAAATGAATGATTTAGTAATTGATACCATAGACTGTGAATTTGAAAATTCTATTAAAACAATTCAGTTTAGTAGATATGGCAGAAAAATTGTGAAACCAAAGAACTTTAATTAGTTTAATTTTGTTTTCAGTACCACTATTATTGTTTTCTTTGTTCCTTTCTTTGAATTAAAATTTTGTATACAATTTAATTTTCCAGTTTAGTGAATTAATCTCTTTGCTAGTATTTTTCAGAAAAGAATTTTTTGCCTGTTGTTTTAAGAATGTAAGTTTGCAGAATATTAAGTAAGTTTAAAATATTCAAGATATTTGTTATGCCTAGATGAAATTGTTGATTTTGGTAAGATTAATTACTCATCTTATATTCATATTTCAATTTTCATTTCAGAATTGTTTTGATTTTTTCATACTTTGTCAAAAATCAAAAGGTGGGAGAAATGTTACAACTCGAACGCGAAATGAGCGAAAGTTTCTCTTCAGCCAGTGGCAACGGGGAGTCGAAAAACGAACTTGGAAGAGAGCGGTCGCTCACTCGGTTTTCTCTCGAGAGAATTTGATACGAAGGGGCATAACCCCCATCTTTTGATTTGAAATTAATCTCGAATATGTATATATTGTAATATTAAAAGATGTGTGTAAATAAAAGTCATTAAGACTTAATTGAAGTAGTGATTTGCATCGAATATAGAAATCGAAAGCTCTCCCAAATAGAACTATGGATTATAGAAATGACAGGTCATTTTGATGTTGGCGATAATTTTCAAAATCGCGCCAAGGCTGCACCGTATACTAGGATTTTACCCTGGGGTGATTCATTCTAACACCTGCCTAATGTCAAACATAAATGGTAATCAGCCAATTTAAAAAAAAATCCCAAATCTATCAAAAATTAATTTTGAGTTAAAATATCTTTTAGAAATATATAAATCAATTAAGATATATATTAATTGTTTGATTTTAAAGACAGATTAATTATTTGACATTAGAAATCAAAAAATTCAGATAAATTAATAAAAATAAGATTTACTTACAATAGCTTTGGGTCTCCCAATATGCTGTTTATGGAACAGAAACTGTCGGTTGAGATTACTCAATTCAATGGTATCCAGATCAATCTAAAGCATTTAAAATATAATATTTCAAAACACTTGACAGATCACAAATGAAAATATTGAACCACCAACTGCACAACAGTTTATCGTGCTTATATTAATAACACTTTTTTTTCGGCTTTAACATAAAAATCTCTCCACTAAATAGCCAAATTAAATCAAACCTCAATGCTTAGCCATTTAATAAATATTTAAGTACAGTTTTTAAACTAAAATCGGTTGATCTTTACAATATGGTAACTGGTAGTTGGCGACATTTTGGAGGCGATAAAGGTTACTACCTGGGACTTTGGTAATAATGTGAGCAGTACTCGGTTCCGATTACGCATTATTTTGCGTGAGGGAAATGAGAGATCATGGGATTCATGGGATATGTCATGTGTCAATATTCATGGGATATGTCATGTGATATTAATGGACGAATTATGGTTCTTTAATCGGAAAAGTGGGGAAATCGGGAAAAAATCTGGAAATTTTGTATTTAGCTTTATTCTGTGTTGTTTAATTTTTGGATCCCATGGCCCTAACTAAAGTGAATTCGAAATGGATATTTAGGCATTGTGATAAAGAGAAGTTTGCTTTTTATTTAGCGGAGGAAGTATGGAGGAAAAATTCGCAGAAAAAATCTTTCAATAATTTTATTGAATGAATTAGAAAAGTGTATCCGCCACGTAATCAAGATTCTGAAGAAGATTAGGTAAGTTAGTATTTTTAATTATTTGAGGATATTATTTTTATGCATTGTTCTAAATGTAAGGTGGAAAGGAATTTGGTATTATTGGGAAAATTGTTATTAGCAATGATTTAGTTTAAAGTAATTAGGATTGTAAGGTAATTTTTATTAATTTAATGTATGTGCTCATTTATATTTTAAGTAGTAATATTTTAATGAAATGATAGTTATTTTGTGAATTTTATGTTTGTAGGAATTTGGTATACGTTTAAGTTGATATAAACGTGCATGGAAATAATTTAAATATTTGATACTAAGTATTTGTAATGCTTGCGGTATGAATTCGTTGGTGACGTGTATAATGTAATAGATGATTTAGAGGTAAAAGTTTTTGGATATTTTATGTATTTTATATGTGGAAATGTTCATATTTGTAAAGGGTAAATACTTTTTCGCGATCAGGTAATTTCATATATATTCTTTTTACCGGGTTTAAAGATTGAGAAAATTGTCATGTATTTTTGTGAAATTTTTCTAATTTATGAGAAAAAAGCAGTGAACATGGATATAGTGAAGAGTGTGCGCAATGCCATTTTTGTGCAATTCTGGGATTTTTTTTAAATAAAAATAAGTCGACGCGTACATGGTTTAGTGATATTTTAATTAAATGATAGTTATTTTGTGAATTTTATGTTTGTAGGAATTTGGTATACATTTAAGTTGAAATAAACGTGCATGGAAATAATTTAAATATTTGATACTAAGTATTTGTAATGCTTGCGGTATGAATTCGTTGGTGACGTGTATAATGTAATAGATGATTTAGAGGTAAAAGTTTTTGGATATTTTATTTATTTTATATGTGGAAATGTTCATATTTGGAAAGGGTATAAACTTTTTCACGATCAGGTAATTTCATATATGTTCTTTTTACCGGGTTTAAAGATTCAGAAAATTGTCATGTATTTTCGTGAAATTTTTCTAATTTATGAGAAAAAAGCAGTGTACATGGATATAGTGAAGAGTGTGCGCAATGCCATTTTTGTGCAATTCTGGGATGTTTTTTTAAGTAAAAATAAGTCGCCATGTACATGGTTTATGTGTATGTGTTATTTGAAAAACGCGTAAGGAGTATGGTATTGTGCACTTTTTCCCAATTTTGCAGTGAATATTTGTCATGATTAAGCAGTTTTGTTTGATAAAATTTCTAGCATAAGTGTAATTTGGCTACTAGATTGTTGGAAGAAGTGTTCAGTAGATAAAAAGAAAAGAAATATGTCTTTACTTCATGAAGACAAAATGGCGGCGGGGAAAAAAATAGAGGGTTGCTGTAGGAGAGTTGGTTGCCAAATTTTCGCCAAAAAATCGCCAAGTTACCATAATGTAAAGATCAACCCTAAAATCTTTCAAAATTAAATAGCCATAATTCTTTTGCAACCCAAGCTTCAGTCGCTGAATCGTTCTCTCGGGATGGTGCCTCGACAAGAATCAATGTCATGTTGGGATGGGCAAATTTGCACTACTAAAGGCTAACTATGGAAACAAAATTCACATAAATTAAATTTGTGATTGAATTCTTTCAATTTTTGATGCATTATGACCGGAACACTCAAGTAGTGTTTAGAATTAATTTGAAAACTCTGTCATATTGTTTTGCTTGACATTTAAAGTATTAAAAATGTTTCACTATATAACACACAAGATATTCCCCTCAATGCTAACCAAACATTTTTAGATGAATGGGGGGAGGAAAAGAAAAACACCTCTAAAACAATAAGACATAAAGCCCCATGTGGCCCAAAATAAAAACAAATGCATTCAGAAAATTCCAGAAGATCCCCAAATGTTCTTATCTGATGACACAGTTAATAACCAGCTGTTTGTTTACATTACTCAACCTATGATTACTACTTTGATTCTGAAATGAAATACCAAAAATAAAATGAAGGTCAGCATTTTCCAGTCTCGATAAATTCCACCATAACAGGCACTATCTAATGGGAAAAAATACTAATTAAATGTTCTATCTATCATATGTGGTATATCCGGCCTACCAGTAACATTTAAACAGCAATTCATATATGACACATCAGTCCCAAAAGAATTGCCAGTACAAACAGGATTAAAATGTCCAATGCACTAAAAAAGCAATCAAAACATAACTCAAGAATAGGCTATTTAATTTAATCACTGAACACCAAAAGATTTAAAATTACAATTTTGGTTTGTGATTGAAAATTAAAGTTATGAGTAATGAATTCCTTCTTGACTATAGATTATGGCAATTCAGATCAAATAAAATTTAACACGAAAAATAATGTTGAAAATCACTAGGGAGTGAGAGAATGAAATTTAAACTATTTAACTTTTATTGCTAGAAAACACGCTTGTGAAGGAAAAAAAAAAAAGAAAAGAGAGAGAGAGAGAGACAGAAAAGAAAACTATTTAAATAAAACTCAACTGGGAAATTTAACATTCTTTCTTAAAATAAGTAAGTCGATCATATTTTACTGGGTAAAAAGTTAAAAGTGTTTTTGTTACATTTCACAGCTGAAAAAAGTATTCTTTGTTAAAAAAAAAAAAAAATTATACCAAAGAATTATTCCAGTTTAAACTGGACAGGTTTATAGTTCCCTTTTGCATTTTTTTAAAGATATTAGTTTCATTGTTGTATTAATTTCACTAAAATGAACACTTTCTTTCTAAAATTTCTGAAACTAAGTTATAAATGAATAAATAAAGCATTAAGAAAAGTTTAAAAAAATTAAAAAAAGCATGCAAAGCTTCATTCTATCTCTTCCTTTCTCTGTTTACTTTCTTGCTATTAAATACACATATTAAATTTAAAAACTGTACATTAGCTAACATATAATTTAGCTAATCACTTCTTTCAATAAACTATGAAGCAAATAAATCAATATTTAAGATTAGGTAAAAAATACGACTTTTTTTAGAGAATATAAGTACGAAACATTTTATTGAAAAACGCAAGAAACACCTCAAATTTATTCGATTTCTCTCTATGAGAAATCCTTTTTGATTTTCAATAATATCATAAGATAAAAAGGATGCTTACAAACTGTTCGAAGTTCGGAAGAAAATAGAAGTTTCGCGTCCCTTTCCCATATTTGATTTTTAGCTTTCAGTACAAAGTAGTATAGATTATAATCACTTTTAATGTACAATATACATTAAATCATATGGTGAAATGTAATTATACAGAATTTAAACAGAAAGTAACAATACAATATTTTTTTCCAAAACAGAGTACAAAGCCGGTAAAATTTAATTTTACATACATAAAAACATACATGAATTAACTATTAAGTTTGAGCTGTAAAATGAGCTCACTCTTATCGGTAATTAGATTTTCTTTTCGAAATATTTAAGATTTTAAAATAGGTAACTAAATAAATTTCACTAATGTATCTATCTCTAGTACTTCTGCTTCTGAATTTGCATGGAATACATACCACATGTAAATCCTCAAATCCAGTCAAAACCAGAGTTTTTAGCAATTCGCAGCCAATACCTCCTGCACCAACAATTAGAAGTTTACTTCCTTTAATTTCATTTTTAAGCGTTTCTTCAAAGACACCATCAATGTGTACCGCCATTTCTCACTTGAAATTAAAACTAGACACTCGGTAAAAACGATGCCACGAGCTGAATATTAATATTAAACCGCAAGCCAAAAGAATGTGCATTTTGAAAGTATGGAAAATTAAAGGCCAATTTAATTTCAGACATTGGCCTCAAGTATTAAGAGTACAATTATTAATTTACAACTTATTTCGGCAAATTTCTTCCATAATTTATGCGAAATAGTCATGTTACTTCACAGAAGCTGATAGTTATATGGTTCCGTTGTTGTTGTTGGGACTTATCACACTTGTCTAACAGTAAAATTGTTGCAACTCTCAGGGCTACAACGTGCAAGTTACAAATTGAATAATCACAGCAGGGATTATTAATATAAAGATTTAATATGGATATCTCACCAAGCTGAAAAACGTTACATTACTCTAAGAAGTGCATACATAACTGAGTGAAAAGGGGAATTTCCCCGCTTAGTTCGCAGTTAAAGAAAAAAAATAAAAATAAAAAAAAATAGTCCAATCAAATGCGGCACTCCTTCTGCCGACCTTTGCCGAGCCGTTACGTAATCGTTTGTCTGCAGCAGCCGTCTCTAACAAAAATCAAAATAAGCCCACAAAATTCATCAACTTTGCTCACAATTTTGACTGATAGAACTCCGGGAAGACGGGTCTCCCACCTTCTTTCCCTACCAACAGTGCCAGAGTGATTTCGGGCCGATCAAGAAACTCGAAAGATGAAATCGGCAAAGGTGACTTGGCAAGAAAGCCCTGCGCTAGAGCTTCACAATAAGTGCGGTTTTGACGTTTCAGAACTCGGCATAGATAAAAAATTTTAATACAGGATTTCTGAAACTTATTCGTCACAGAGGGACAAGTATTTATTAAAGAACCTTATTGGCTTTCTCTGGAAATTTATGCTGCTTCAATCTTATATCAGAAGGTTTTCCATTCTTTTCTTGGATCATATATTTTTATGAATTTACTTTTCAGTCGATGGTATTTGTATTACAGATCACTGTGCGTCTCGGAAGGGCAAAGAGACCTTAGAAATATATTAAAACAGGGTTATTAAGGTTTTATATTAGCACGTAATATGAATATACAAATAATACTTATTTAATATGTAATTTAAAATCAGAATTTATTAAATTTCTAATTTATTAATATTTAATTAATGTTTTATTAAATTATTATATGAACATTCGAAATGTGTATATAATAATAATAGTAGTTGCAGTGATCTTCATAAAATAAAAACTTCTGTAAATATTTTTAATTAAAGAATTTTGATAATTATTTTCCGTTTCTTGGGAAAAAATACTGTACCTTTGGAGTAAAAAAAAAAGTACTACAACTTCGATAACTGTTTCATTAAACATATGTCCTATTTGATCTTAGCTCAAAGATTTGATTCAATTGCAAAAACTTATACCTGAAAATCAGAATGCCTGATAAAATTAAAAAGTATGACTACCCTCACTCTCCAACTGGGGGAGTTAAGCCGATGAGCATAAGAGGTATATTTGAAAGTGAACGCTGTAGACTCTCGGAAGAATTCACTGATGAGGAACGCAAATGGAGAAAACAGTGGATAAAAGATCAGCAACTATCTCCTAATGAACCTAGACCAGTTCCTCCTGAATGGATAAAAGAAACACGAAATCCAATTCGTAGATTTGTTTCGAAGCCTTGGCAAATTCTGGAAGACCGAATGTCTGTAGTAACCGGGAAAGGATTTGCTGCTGGTTTTAGATACGTGGTACCTAAAACATTAGTGGGAATTATGTCAATATATGTTCTTTGGTATCATCTTAAATACAATCAGAATGATTGGACCAGAGCTTATGGTCCGACTATAATGATGCCAAAACCTGTTGCTTATCCTGGAGATAAAAATTATCCTGTAAAAAGAGAGCGATTTCATCCTATTGATTATGATGATCGTGGCTTCAAAAATAGAACTGTCTTTTTGTAATGTTATAATACTTCAAAAGAATTATTACAAGTAGCGTTTGTAACATAGTTAGAAGTCACTGATATATGAATAAAAAAATCAATTAATTGAACTTTGAAGCATGACATACGATTTTGATATTTAGCTTTTGTTTGATCTTGATATTAAATGCGCCATCTGAAATCATAATGCTTGTGATGGAATCCAGGAAAACTGTAAAGCGGAAAAGGATGCAGAGTAAAAAATAAAGTGTTGGAAAATTGAGTTTTTTCTTTAAAATACACAAGTGTTAAATGACCACAAGTTAGTGAGACAATACCTTAAGTTTCGTTTCTACTGTTTTGTAACATGGACTGAAATTATTGTACACAAATCCTATCTGGGTGGAAATTATTTTGTGACTTAAAACAAAAGTGGAAAACAGTCAGATGTGAGTTTTATCTTAAATGGGGGCATTATATTAAGTAATGCTTGTTTGTAATTCATAATAAATGTATGTATAATTTTTTGAAACATATATTTTGGTATTTAAATTAACAAAGAAATTTTGTGGAGTAATTTTTTCAATTTATGAAAATTTAATCTGCTTAAATAGTTTTATAAATTTATTGTTTTATTAAAGATTTTAATTTGACAGTTGAAAGCGTATATTTGCCACTTCACCATTTGTGCAAGGCTAACTTACAAGTCCCAAAGTTTGTGATGATATAAGCTGCTTTATAATTTTAATTTCTTTCTCTGATTACAAAGGTGCTTTGAAAATGCTATATTTAGTTTAGAATTGTACTTAAAATTTTTTTAGATACTTGCTGAATATGATTAGCTTAGTATTGATTTGACCATGCAGTAAATATTATCCTATATTTAGTTCACTTTTACTTCCCTTCTATTTTAGGGACGTGGTCTTTTGTTTATTATTTCCTGAAAATTTCCTTTTGGCTGTTAATGCACTATTGACAAAACAAAATGGATTAATCCTATGTATATACTAAACATTATGAGAACTAAGGGTAAATACCAAGTTCTTACTTTGTGTTAACAGTTGCTCATCTATTTTAGGCCTATGTATGATCATACGGTCGTCTAGGAGGATGGGGGCTGTGCCCTTATAATAATATATATAATGAAGAAATACAAAATAAAAAGTATCCAACCTCCTGATGACAATACAGCAAAAGGTTTAAATTTCTTATTTCAGTTTTAATTTGTTCGATTCAGTTTTGATTTGTTTGATACATGCAGTTTTTTTTTATATAAAAATTCTCTATCTTTAAGAAATGCCTGTATAAATTACATTTTTTTTTTAATTTCTCATCTAAAGTGAAATGATAATTATTACTTAAACCTTAATTGGAGGTAATAGTTGGATGACTACAATAATAAATGTAATGTAAATATATGAAAAGTTCTTAATTCTTTCCCTTTGAATTATTATTAATACTATCTTTCTACTATTTGGTCAATTTAAATAAATTGGGAAACTTTACTTTTACTAAAAAATTGGGGCTGTTAGTTTTAAAGACATTCTGTACAATGATTACGTGAAGACTTTTATCTTTTATAACCTAACGTTTTCCTTTTTTCTCAACTTTTAGCCAGTTAAGTTTTTGCGTTTTAAGATTTTACAGTATACATTATCTTTGAGAAAGTTTCATCTACCACCTTATTGGCATTGCAACTCTCCTTCCTCGTCATTTGTACTTTTTACAGGGCACAACCTTGATTTGCACAAAGTTTAACCGGATAAGACATATTGAACACACATAAAAATACTGTTTTCTGCTATTGGACACTTAAACCATTATTTCATACTTTTTCCCAAGAAGTTAAAAGTTTCTATTATCTCCAAGAGTAGCTTTAAAATCTTTTTTTTTTTTTTTTTTTTTCACGAGCCCACAGTTTGGGAAACGTTCTTTCTTAAGAAATTCAGTAAGTTTACATTTTATTCAATAATTTTGTTTTCTAATAGGTTTTCAGTTTCAGCTGTTTAAAACTTGGCTTAGAATTTTATACTGTTTATGGAAATCTCTTTTAAAGTTTTTCATTTTCTTAGTATTAAAATTTTATGGCTCAGATAATTGGGGACCACTTATTTTTAGAGTTTTGTTTAAATGAAAATTTGATTTAAAAGTGAATTCTTTTACTCATTAATTTGTAATTGCTTTTGAAAGTTGGATTTGCATTTAGTATATCTCTGCCAAATTTTATTTTTTGGAGTAGTCATTTTTGCATAATGTAGTATTTTATTCATTTGCTCTTTTTTCCAAGTGTTCAAAAATGTGCAGGGAAAATTCTGAATATATTTAAGATTTGACTTTAAATAAATTTTAGTGTTTTATTGAAAATATAATTGAATCCTTTATCGGTTTTTGATCTCAAATGATTCAGAAGGACGAAACATGTATTCGAGACTCATTAAATGACTTTTCTGGAGTTCTGAATTCAGAGAAAAGAGATTAATTTTTATTTTTTGTTTCTATTAAAAATTTGCTTTTTTACTTTTTGGGTTTATTCTACTGATGAATTCTTATATTAATTTTGATTATGTTTAGCTACAACATTAGACTTTTTATCTACAATGCAGTTAATATTGTTAGGAAAATTGCCTTGTTTTGATTCCAATTTAGTTTTAATTTTGGATGCTACATTGATGACATTATTACTTTCAACAATTTTAAGCTCATCGGAAACAGCAACATCTACCCAAATTGTCTAAAAATAAATAAGATAAATAAAAACCAAACAGAAATAGTTTATCTTGATATTGTACAAAATTTTTAAACAGCATAAACAGAAATAGTTTATCTTGACTTGTATTCATAAACTAAGGAAATTAAACTTTTTGATAAATGAAAAGATTTTAATTTTTCTGTTAATTAATTGGAATTCTAACATATCTAAAAAAGTTATTGCAAATACTATTTTTAACCAAATTAGTAGAATTAAAAATGTTTGCACTGAAATAGAAACACACACACACAAAAAAAGAAATTCTAATTCTCATCAAAATTTTAAAAGATAATGAAATTCCTTTAAAATTCATTAATAGTATATTAATGAAATCTGGAGTAGAGTAGTGTACACCCTATAATACTTTTTATCTGAAAGCTCCAAAAGAGAAGGATGTTTTAAAGGCTATATAGAGTTCCTTTTTGAACTTTTTTCTATAATTTCAAAATTTAAAAACTAAAATTCACCTTTAAAAATTTTTTTTTACTCAAATCTAAAATCAATAATTAAAAATATTGATCACTTTTTGGGCAACTTTTCAGTCTTTTTTTTAAAGATTAATTGATTTTAAAATTTAATTAAAGTTTTACAATAAAAAATATTATTTATAATAATCGATTTATTATAATTTCTAGCTTTGCAAATGCAAAAATATGGTTTACATGCACATAATTTCTCATATCAATCACACTTCACATCACAACGTAATACGAAACTGGCGGGAAAATGAGACTCTTTTGGGTGCAATCTATGGTGAAATTTCATACAGGGGAAAAGCAAAGATCAAATCTGTAATTAATGTGATCGAGCAGGTCCAGTATACAATTGAATAAAAAACTGTTGCCAAAACCACATTTCTAAAAGAATGAAACTATTCAAAATGATGCGATAAAATCAAAAAGATTTAAAAAAATGTGATTCGAATTCTGAAAAAATCGCTTTGAGGTGCACTGGTTTTTCTCTAGATGCACATATATACCAAATTTCGTAACCATAGGTCTATTAGCTTACGCGCAGCACGAATGAATGGCACACAAACTGGTTCTTTTATTATATGTAGAGAAAAGATTACGTTATGCAACAAGAAGTATTATGTAAGAATGTAATAAAGATGGAAAAGGTGTTGACACCTATTAAAAAAGTTATCAGTTTGATAAAATCTCAAGACAAATCAGCCACAGTTCTGTGCTTTCTTAGTGAATGTTCCAGTGTGTCTTATTATACTAGTGTTCTCAACCAGAATTTCCAGCGGCCAAGCGGTAAAGTCGCTGAACACTGGTAGTTTGGTCCGAGGTTAGAATGCCACGAACGGGCTGGCTGCAAAGGTGTTTTCGAGGCTTTGCCATAATCACACACACACATTCAACCAGAATTTCTTAATTGGGGGAGGGATGTAGTCAGCTTTTTATTTAGCTGTTATACATAAGGTAGTTAGCAGCTAAATCAATGGCTTGGCATTTAGTTTTAGTTTATGAATGGAGAAAAAAACTATTTTTAATTCAAGTTTTTGTATTTACTAACATTTTTTGTTGTTTAACTTATGAGCCTCGATAAAAAAAAATATTCTAAATCTAAAAAATGTATATGTATTTTTCAAATTTTCGAAAGAGGGAAATGATTGTCTAGCAGTGGTGAAATGGGTGCATGGGACAATAAAAGGTTGAGAGCCATTGTAAAGTTCGACTGTCTCAAATGTAACGCTATACCTTTCAGTTTTTCTTTGATGCCCCTTTTGGATGATTCTATATGTTTTGGAGGCCCACAAGCGGCCGAGCGGTAAAGTCGCTGAACACTGGTAGTTTGGTACGAGGTTCGAATCCCGCGAACGGGCTGGCTACATGGGCGTTTTCGTGGTTTTCCCCATGTGTAATGTGTTTACAAGCCAGTTTCCCTTAGAAAGTCCTCCACGAAGGCATCCCTCCCCTTAGGCAGATAGCCGTTGTATGCTTTGCCATAATTAAATAAACACTATATGTTTTGGCACGATAGTTTGAATGGACCCGGTCTACTGCTGCAAGAATCTCAGGAACAGTTTGGAAGCGAGTGCCACGAAGTGGTTCCTTCATCTTAGGAATTAAGCCATAGTCACAAGGGCTTAGATCTGGGGAGTATGGTGGATGGTAAAGCACTTCCCAGCCCCATCGCTTGAACAAATCAGTCACAGCTTGCGCTGCATGCGGCCGAGCATTGTCATGCAAAATGAGAGGAGTGTTCTGCAGAAAGTGTCGCCGTTTTTTTCTCAAAGCTGGTCGGAGATTGTGCTCCAAAAATGAGCAGTAATACTGCGCAGTGACGGTCTGCTGTGGGGGAATGGTATGCGTTAGGATGACACCATCACAGTCGTACACAAGAATCACCATAAGTTTCACATTGTTGGGGTTCTGACGAAATTTCGAACGTTTGTGGTGACCCGTGATGACGCCATTCGTTTTGATTGGCGTTTCAGTTCTGGCTGGTACGATCGGGCCCAAGTCTCATCCAGCATCATGATACGGCATTAAAAAGCATCTCCTTCGCATTCATAGTGCTCCAGGTGGATTCGTGCAGCATCGTATCATAGCCATTTCTGCATTTCCGTCAATTGATGTGGAACCCATCGTGAAGCAATTTTTCTCATGGACAGGCGTTCCTTCAGAATGTGCACAGTCATATGCGCTAATCCTGTTTGTCCGGCCAGCTGATGAATCGTTTAGCGGCAATCACTGTCCATTAGTGCGGCAACAGCTTGCACGTCTGCATCGCTGACACTCGGACGACCTGGCTGCAGCATGTCTCCCACGTTTTGGT